TAGGATGACATTGATCTGTTGCTGCTGGGTCAGTTTCGTTCCTCCTTGAGTCAGTTGAGTGACAGTGGTGGTATTGACTCCATTTTTCTCTTGCACTTTCTTGTCTACTAGTTGCTTCATGTACTCTTTCTGTATCTGGAGATGCGTCCTCAGGTCAGGAACACTTGCCTAAGAGTGTGTGAGGAGGAGGAAGAAACAAATTACTACATGTATTACTGCAAGAAATACTACAAGTAAATAATAATACATGACGAGAACCATACTATACCATATAGCGGGAAATTTTGTAGGGAGTTAAATTAATTTGGCGAATAGCTAAATTCTAGTGATTGGCAAATGGCTATCAAAATGCCAAAGTTGTCAAATTTAATTCCCTACAAAATTTCCCGCTATACGGTAGGTAGTGTTACATTTATAGTAGGACTACCATGGTATCTCCATTCAAAAATTTGCTAAACAACTGCAATTGAAAAAGATACAGTTGAAACTGATTAGAGGTAGGCGATACACTACCAAATTACTCATATATCCAATACCAAATCCTGGAATCAAGTTAAGTAGTGACCACACCCAACCACACCTACTTTGACGTCATAATTATGGCCCCACACCCTTTCATAATTACAAATAATGGCAGTCCATTTCCCTCATTTTTATTAATGTCTAATCATAACTTATTTGCACATGTGCAGTAGTTTGATCAGTACTCAATACCACCAATACTGATACTAAGACTACTTCGCTCCCACCGCTACACAACCAATTGTTATCGCCTTAGATCAAGACTGGTATCAGTCTGAATCATACTGATATCATTCCTGAATCATGGTTTTCGTGTAATTAGTCATGACACAACTGCGAAAATCAGCCATGATATAATCATGATAAAATTTGTACTGATCCATGCCAGAATATCAGGCATGATCTATAAAATAATGTGTCAGGGCTGTACCAGTATAGGATATCAGACATGGTCCATTATTTTGGGGCAAAAGTGCTGATTCAGGCATGATAACATTTGGTTGTGTAGCAAAGACATAAATTAATAATACATGATAAGGACCATATCATTAGTACATCAGTGTTACATTTATAGTAGGGGCAAAATAGTACCCCATTCAAAAATTTGCATTTCTGCAGGTACATCAGCGACAGAAAGTCTGAACTGCATGAATTCCAAATCTCACTTTTATACTCTCCTAATTGCAAAAGCTATTGTGGGTTGCATACAATGTGGTTAACACTTCTGTACTTGTATAAACTGTGTTATACCACCATTAAACAGAGACAATTAAAATCTCAAATTAAAAATTGTCAATGCATTATACAGTACATGTACATGTACATGCAGTACCAATAAATCATAGTTAATTATTATGCACAATTTTTTAGCCCAATCATGAATTTTAATACCAGAATTTTTAATTCGAGGATAATAATTTGTGCAAATGTCATGTATCCAGAAATTTATGAAATTATTTTTTTACAAATTTCCACTATTCTGCCATCTTGTATCACATTAAAATTAAATGATTTTAAAGGAAATTCAATTTCACGACTTTTTAAAAGCTACAAAATTTGCACAATTTGTTATTATCGAATAAAACCACTGAATATATGATAAATGTAGATGTTTTTGTGTACATGTCTTTATCTGTACAGTACATGTACTTATATAATGTGTTTATCTAAAGCAGTACAGTGCTATCATACAGTGGTTTCGTTCGAGGATAATAATATTTGCAAATGTTGTGTATCCTGAGATTCACAAAATTAATTTTTTTCAAATTTCCACAATTTTGTCATCTTGTATCACATTATAATTAATTGATTTTCAAGGAATTCAATTTTGCAACCCTTACAAAGCTACAAAATTGGCAAAATTTGTTATCCTCAAATAAAACAACTAAACATATGATAGATATGTGTTTGTGTACATGTATTTACTTGTAGAAATGGAAGTAGATCTGGCTGATGCTTCGACTTCAGATCCTGTTCAATCTTCTTGGCAAACTCCTCTTCAGTAATACTGCCAGCCTATAATGTCAAGTAAAAAACAAAAAGATTGATCTCACAGGAAGATGTGGCTATAAAATACACTAATTGATGTATTTTGTGTAGGCACAATGCCTAATTGCTATAGAAACAAGCCAAAAAACATATGCACTTGCTTCATGCAGTGTCCATCCAAGAGGTTTTACATGCACAGGTGATACAAAAAGGCTATCATGGGGGTATAAATTTAGCAGTAAACCTGTATAACAAACTGTAAATGGGTTAATAGTACATACAATGTATACACATGTAAATTGAAACAAAAATGGTGATACACATGTACATGTATTTGAATATCCATTTGCCTAAAGCAGGCAAGAACTTGGCCTCAAGCAAGTAAATACTTAGATTTAAATACTAGTTAATAGAAAGCCATTGACATTAAAAACAAAATGGCTGCCAAGAGAAAAACTAAATGTCACATGCTACTGCATGTGTCAATACTGCTTAATACCTTTGCTTTTCAAAGAACAAGGCTCAAAACATCAAATAAACAAAAGCCAAAAATAACGAAACAGAAAGAATGAGGGGAAAATGGAAATAAAAGAGGATTATAAAGTGAGAAAGGAGAGACAAAATACAAAAACAAAAGGAGACATTAATAATCTTAACATGAACTCACCACTAATTTCTGTACTAAAGAATGCACAGCTGTCCTCACTTGAGGGCCCGAATTACCAGCCAGTTGTACTAAGTTTGTTAAAAAATTCTTCACCTTTGTGACTACAGCGAGCATCTCTTTAGCCTTTGCCGGCCCATTCTTACTAGACATGGCATAGATAGCTAAGAGACTGGCTTGCTTGTAAATGGCTGATTGTTCTTCAATGGTAAGTAGGGAGGTTTGAGGACCGTGAGTCAAGCCACCAAAAGGTGACATTGTAGAGAGAGAGGCCCTCCTGTTAGTGGAGTCTTGAGCCTGTGGTTGTGTGCTTGTTTCTGTCTTTGAGAGGTTTAGGGTAAGACCAGGGCGAGAGGATGAGGGAGTAGAAGAGGTAGCAGTGGATATACTTGTTGATACTTCTCCTTTAGTCTTGACAGGTTGAGCAGGAGTGAGGGAAGGAGGGACAGAAGATGAAGTAGTGGTCGTTATCGAGGAGGAAGAAGAAGAGGAGGCCGAAGGCGGGAGAACTACTTTCTCTTGTGTTTGTTGAAACCCGTTGCTTGTGACGGGTTGCTGAGAGAGACTAGCCTCCTCAGGAGTAGATCCGAGGCCGCTGTCTTGTGAGAGGTCCCCACCACTTGCCTTGGTAACAGAATTCAACTCTTGATGTAAAGAACTGACTACCGCGGAAACATCTTTCTCGTCGACATCAGCGGCATTGATGAGGGCATCAATATCAAGGTCCTCCGACATGTTAGTCCCATTCTCTGGGGTCGCCATAGTCTCAAAGAGAAGATTCAAATGGATCCCTTCACTCTTCGTCTTCTTTGCGCTTTCTTAGTATCCCTCCATTTTCTCCTATAGAGGAGACTTCAATTTATACTCCCTGATTCCGGATACCTCCGTATACTCGATTCTCTTATTGGGTATAAAAGAAGATAGCTATATTCTTTTTTTGCTAAATGGCAGAGGCACCAGGTGATTCTGGGGAGTCAGATTATGAGCCTGTGAGTTCCGTATTTGTCTGTACATCTTCGTGTTATTCTCTTTTATTTTTCAGGCAGAGGAGCTGGAGGACGAGAGCCCGAATGACGTCATCGAGGAAGATCACGAATACCTTCGTCACCACATTGCCACTTTGAAAATGGATGACGCCGTCCTAGAACCGGGAATACTGAAGACATTCGAAGAGTCAGTGATGATTATTAAAATAATGAGTGGGTGGGGACGTACATGTACATTGTACGGGCATGTACATGTACTTAATTATGAAAATTTGTGTGCATTAATTAGAAATAGTGGTATGTAATTTTTAATTTGTTAATGAGACCACAAATTATTAACACTGTCACACTAATGACTTGTGGGCATAATTATGTACATGTAGTTTAGGTTTAACAGTTCAATACATGTACACGTAGCCTCTTTTAAAATATCAAATTCTTAAAAAATAGCGGCATAATGTTTCCACCTTATACATTAATGGCTACTCATAGTAACTAATCGTTTTATGTATGTGTACATGTACATATTGTATTTTTGTTAGGTACGTTTGTACATGTATATGTACACATACATGTAATTTATACTATTTTACAAATGCTGTATTTTTATGTACATGTACATAGCGTACTTTTTATTGAGTTACATGTACATGCACTTCATTGAAATAAAAACTTTAATTAAATTACATGTATTTGCAAATGCATGTACATGTAACACGTACATGTAACATGTACATTTGTGTGTACATTGTGCATGTATATTTAATATCTCTTAATTGATGCATGTACATGTACATGTACATCTTTATTGTGACATACATGTATGTACATGTATTATTAACATTATGAGATCAGTGAATCACTATTATTATTATCATTTTATTTCAGTTATTTAGAATTAGGTGGTGAGAGTATTAATGCAATCCGTTACCTTTCATCTGGTTACAAGGGCCTTCCCTTAATGATTAATGTACTAGTGGACTGGCTTCACTTTGCTGGTAAGATTATACTGTACATGTATTTAATAGAAACCAACCAGATTGAATACTGTGTACATGTACATGTAGATGCTTCAACTCTATACTGCTTGTTTTGTTGAAGGATTAAGAAATAATATTCCTTTTTGGTTGCAATTTATTTATTCTGCATGTACATGTACATGTATGATGTTACAGAGTTATTATTGGCAGCAAGTAGTTTGTTTTATCTGAAAAAATTTCTGAAATTGTTGCCAAAGTTAATTTTTCATAAAAACCATGTGTACATATGCTTTACATGTACAGTACAATGTACGGTACATGTACATGAACTTAGCTTTTAATAATGCATTAGGTTGTAGAAGGAAAGACATTCAAACTCTAGTAGAAGAACACATCAAGACATTAATCATTAAAGATTTTGATCCAAAGAAAGCCGATCTCATATTCACAGAGGAAGGATCTGTGAGTTAGGGTCTTGTGTTGTCCTCATTATTCAAGTGTTTTCCAGACCCCTTCGTGGCTGGAGGAGATGATTTGTTTTCAGACTTGGAGGGAACTTTTCTATCAGTTAACAGATCAGTATCCTGACTGCTTGATGCTCAAGTTTACTATGAAAGTAGGCACTGTCTGTACATTATTGTAAAGCTTAAAATAATAAACTTTTATGAGAAAAGTGTATGTGTAGTACATGTGCTGTGTATAGTGTATGGTACTCTTCTGTTTTATTGTATAAGCTTTTACTTTCACTAGTTAGCTCATAATCACATTAAACTTTTGCTTAATTCTCACTATGTTAACATTGTACATGTACATTTATTGCACATACTGTAGTACTGTGTAGTTGTTTTCAAAAGACTCTTTTTGATTAAATTTTGGAATCAACTGTAGAAATTTAATTAAAAAATCAATTTAGCCATTTCTGATAAAATATACCCTTTAAGGCCTTTTGGTCAACTATTTAGAATTTAATTTTGATTGTAATGGGCATATTTTTATTATTCAGATAAGCGTCATTTATTTATCACATACATTTGTATAGCCATAAAATAGCAACTTAAAGAGATTCATAATGACCACTCTAAAGCATACATGTAGAACATTCATGGTGATATTTATTACAATTACCATTACTATATTAATTTTGATTATCACACTGTAAGAGTATTATTATGATACTGTCATGTGAGAAGTTTGAATTATTTATTTAACTTGTCAAATTTTGTTAAAATAGCTCTCAATTTTTTGTTGCATGCTGTAGGTGCATGTACATGTACATGTATACATGTATATTGTAAAACATGTATATAAGTCAAATCCTGTCAGGATTCATTAAGTGATTTAAGTCATGGGCAATTCATTAATCATAATCTAACAAGCGTATTACTGGTAAACTATTCCTAAGATTAGTTCCTAAAATGCTTTAATACATCTAGGGATCGGAAAGTCCTTTGGGATGTGTTTTGATGTCCTTTTGCTATGTACACTACATGTAGAAAAGTTGAGGTGATTTCGGCTAAAAATTTTGAGTGACATGTACATGTATGGCAATTTTTTTAAATGAGCCAATACTCTGTATATCTCTTGCTTATTTCTGAAGAATAGCTCTGAAATTTTTATTACTTTTTAAATACATATTGATGTTCTTATGCTGTGTAGAAATTTTGAGGTGATTCTGACTAAAAAGTTTTGAGTTATGGCCATTTTTAAAATTGGCCAATTACATGTATATACTTTTTCCGAAAAATGGCTCCGAAATCAGCCTAAATTTTTATTACTTTTCCTGATGCATATTGTTGTCCTTATGTTATGTTGAAAGTTTGAGGTGAATCCGAATAAAAATTTCTGAGTTTTTGTCATTTTTAACAAGTGTATAAAATATTTTTAAGATTGTTTTCACCACCTTGCATGCTAAGTAATAAATTTTATGACTGAATAGTTATATTGTAATTGTAATTTTTTACAAGAACAGTACGTACAACATAAATGAGGAATCTCAAATTTAGTTGAAATTGTGTTAATGTGTTTCCATTTTTGTTATCCCTTAAATGACTAAATGACTGCATGTACATGTACAATACATGTTTTTTTATATACATTTATTTTCTTGTCCTAAAATTGTACATGTACATGTATGTCTATGTGTAAATTAAGCAGCTTTATTGCAGTCATACTCTATGTCTATTTGTGTATTACAATTTCTGTTACTATACATTTGTAGATGTACATGTATATGCATGTACATAAATGTATGTATCTCCTTTAATACAGTTAATAGCTGATGCTGGCTATCAAGGGGAGATTACGAGTGCCTCGTCAGCAGCTCATCAACCCGAGGTGTTCTGTGGACTCATAAAGACATTACTAACTGACATCATCACTGCTTCATCTCCTAATGAAATGGAAGAAAGTCTCAAAGAGTTCTGTGTAAGCTACATGTACATGTACAATGTACATTTACGTACATTGGGATGTTTCATTCACTTCTACATATAGCTAATGGAATTGACACATGTTTACTGTTATTATTTACATTTACTTTTACGATCCCAAATCCGTCCAATCGATACAAACCTATGACAAGTACATGTACATGTCTGTGTACATATACATGTATGTACTTCAAATGGTGTCAGGAAGTTACAAGTTTAATACACATGTAGTACACTTACATCTAGAACATGTGGTCTTGAGCCTAAACTGATAATATTGGCCACACCCCTAGGAATTTTATTACAGTACATCATTAGTGACATGAGCTACAGTTTTAAAATCCCACATGATTGCTTCTGCTTTTGGCCCAATCTCAGCTGGGATATCTTTATTATTGTGTTGATATTCAGGTACTGTAATAATTTTATGTACATGTAATAAATATGCAGTTTTTGGAGGAGTCCATTATTTGTACATGTACATGTAGTTGTAATACATGTACTATGTACTGTAGATTTCTTCATAAAATTGATGGATTCACCTCTCCCACTAGTTACCAAAATTCTTTTTGCTTATCATAACTTCCTTAGTCATAAGATCTTTGAATATGTTTAAAGTATCGCCCACTTTTGGTGTCTTTACATAGTCTCTCCTCCTTCCACCTTCTTCATTTTCTTTTATTGCTGCATCTGGTCATTAGGACTCTCTCCCATCACTCATTCACTACCTTCCATCCTTAATCTACTTTGGTTTACATTTCGGCTTGTTCGTTTTTTCATAGTTCAATTTACATTCCTGCTTCTTCATTTTTTTATAGTTTGTTCCTGCTCCATCCTCATTTGCCTTATACGTATATCTCACTTCATTTTTTGTTCTTGCTTTACATACACAATTTTATTCTGTAATTTCTTAAAATGTCAGCCAAACCATTATCACCTTTTCCTGGCCTCAGGCTCAAACTGGAGGAACAGCTCACCTGTCCTGTGTGTCTTGACCACTATACAAACCCTAAGACTTTACCTTGTCTACATTCATTCTGTCAGCACTGTCTGGAGGGATTACCTCTGGATAAGAAGAATGAGACCTATTACCTCTCTTGTCCCACTTGTCGTCATTGTACAGAGTTACCAGAAGGAGTAAGAGCCTTTCCTGTAGCATTCACTCTTAATAACCTCAAAGAGATGTACAGTCTAACAAAGAAGACAGCAAATTCTCAGGAGGCCACAACATCGCCCACATGTAGTGATCATGGAAAGCCTTTGGAGCTATTCTGTGAAACTTGTGATGTAGTGATTTGCTCTCACTGCTCAGTTCGTAGTCACAGAGGTCATGAATGTGACTTAATCACTGACAGTTATATTCAACACTGTCAAAAGTTAAGAGAATGTCTATCACCAGTTGAGGGAAAGAAGGAAGCACTCAAGAAGGTCCTGTCTGCTCTAGCAGAGAGAGAGGGTGAGATCAGAGAGAGAGGAGAAGGAGTCTTAGAAGAAATACATGAAATAGTAGAGGAAATGATTGCTGTTCTTCGTCAGTCAGAGAGGAAACTGACTGAGCAGGCAAAGAGGGTCACTGATGCTAAACTAAAGGTGCTTTCAGAGCAAATAAAATCAGCAGAAATGAGTTTGAGTCTTCTGGAGGATGTCGAGGAATATGTGGAACAGAGCCTAAAGACAGGCAGTCCTCAACAAGTCCTGAGATCTAAGAAACAGATGATGGAGCATATTAGTGAAGTTACTGCAGGGATCAATGTGGAGGAGTTACATCCAAAGGAAAAAGCTGACTTTGTGTTGATTCCGAAAGATATCAAATTGCTGCATCACATTGGAGATATTGTCCCACTACAGCTGTACAATTTAAATGTGAAGAAGATTGATTGTATTGGAAAAGAGGCTTCATTTTCACTATCATTGGAGATACCAGATTTACCTCTTTTGTCTGTTCCCCTCTCTTCTCTGAGGTGTAGTCTAGTACCAGTTGGTAAAGGCCATAAACCCATTCAGACTACAGTCACTACCACCAGCACTGATCCTGGAGTGTATAGGATACAGTGTAACCCTTCAACACGTGGTACTCATACAGTAAAAGTACAAGTATATGGTATACACCTTAAGGATACCTCACTTGTCATCCCTTTCAATCCTTACCTTGATAACGTCACCCCAGTATGTACTATAACTAAGCTTAACCGTCCCTATGGAGTTGCGTTTAATGATAATCATGTCCTAATAACTGAGAATGGTAGTAACTGTGTAACAATACTGGATAAAAAAGGAAAGAAAGTGAAATCATTAGGGGGGAAAGGAGGAAGTGGTAATGTCAAGTTTTCTAGCCCTTGTGGTATAGCCATTACTCCAGACAAATTCATTCTTGTGTCTGATAATCACAGGATCCAGAAGATAAGCATGGATGGATACCGTATAGCATCAGTTGGTGAGGAGGGCAGTGGACCACTACAATTTAAGTATCCCGAAAGTATAGCCATTTCTCCTATATTGGGACAAGTTTATATTGCTGATTCTAATAATCATCGTATACAAGTCTTGAATCCTGATCTAACCTTCTCTCATTCATTTGGTAGTAAAGGATCAGATAATGGACAGTTTAAGTATCCATGTGGCATTGCTATTGACAATCAAAAATTAGTGTATGTTTCTGATAGGAATAATCATCGCATTCAGAAGTTCTCTCCAGATGGAAAGTTTGTGGGTCAGTTTGGCACTAAAGGATCTGGTCCTGGACAGCTTAAGAAACCATTGGGTATAACAATAGACACTGCAGCTACTGGTCTAGTGTATGTTAGTGAATGGGGCAATCATTGTATCTCAGTCTTCACTAGTGATGGTGTGTTTGTTAATAGGTTTGATGAAGAAAGTAGTAATATTGATCAGTTTAATGCTCCTTATGGAATAACATTTGATAAAGATGGATTTTTGTGCATTTGTGATTATGGTAGTAGCCGATTTTTCATTTATTAAATGTTAACGTTATTTATTTATGTACTATTTTATTATTAAAAATTAAACTAAACTGACTATTGAATTATGTAATAGCATTACTTGGCTAGGATAAAGTGCATAAGGAAAGTATTATTTATCAAGATTTAATGTTATGCTGATTTTTTTTGGAAATTTACCTTTTACTTTAGCATTGGAAAACTCTAACTTTTTATGTCTCATTTCCATGGGCTTTAATATTGATCAAGCAAGACATACATGTACATGTACATGTACACTACTGTCAGACATGGGGCAAGCACTTAAGCATTTGTGCTTATAAGCACTTTAAGCACCTTTTGTAAAAGTTTGAAGGTGCTTGCAAGCATTAATCATATTGCAAGCACTTGTGCTTGACTTGTACTTAAGCTCTTTTTAATGTAAATGCTTTAAAGCACTTTTTAAGCACTAATGCTTGTCTTTTTTATCAGTTATCACTAATATAACTGTCATGCACGTGTATGACATCTATCATAACATACGCATGAGACCTGCTGTCAGTTTAACCTTTAAAGATGGCCACAACCACAAAGAAGCTACCAGATTTTATTACTTCAATCTTTTTGAAGATTTGAGTGGTGCTTTCAGAGCCTAAGTGCCACAAGTATTGCCATAACTTATAGATTCAATGCTTTACCTGTGCTTTAAGCACTTTCCCCAGTGCTTTATGATGTGCTTCAAGCATTTTAGAAAGTGCTTGCCCCATGTCTGACTACTGTGTACATGTACATACATGTACATACATGTACATGGCTCAATGTGGAGCAATAGACAAAGACTCCTGCTCCTCCACTGGCTTGGCAATAGTAGTTAGAACTTTGCATGGTCCTTTTACTCCATTAATTAGTTTTCTATGTGTGGGTGTTAGGGGATTTAATTTCATTGATTAAACTGAATTGCAAAATTAATGAAAATTAATACCCTACAAAAATTACCAACCGTACATGTACGGGGCATGTACCGTATAGCTTGAAATTTTCGTGGAATGTAAATTTCGTGATTTTCGTAGTTATGGGCTGCCCATGAAATTTAAACCCACGAAATCATTGAAGTGCCATCCTCTTACAGGCTATGTAAACTGTGAACCACGAAAATTAAACCACGAATTGCCCCACTAGGAGCAAACCACGAAAATATCGACCCACGAAAATTTCAAGCTATACGGTATCTTTATTTTATGTATACATGTACATGTATATTATCAGCTTTACAACTGCTACATGTACTACTTGTGTCAGTCTTTTTTGCCTGCTGTCTATCAATAGATTGTATTACATATTGAATGTTACACCACTTCCTGTGACTGTGAGGTGAGGTTAAAACAACATTACAGTATAAGGGGTAGGACTATAGCTTTGTATTGTAAAGATGTCTCTTGAGGATTATCCAAAGGATGAGAATGGCACTTTCTGTGGCCATTCAATCAATGATGAGTTGAAGCCGATACTACTAGTATACTGTACAAGTGGATCTGTTTGTTCATTCTTTTGTGCCTTTGCTATTCTACTCATGATCCTCTGTAGGTTCTTTAGTCTACTGACTCATCGTCTCATACTGTACATGCTGCTAGGAATATTGTTCTTCTCTTCTGTAGTTGCTGTTCAGTTCATAAATCTATGGTTGAAATTTTGGGATGGGAATAATTTAACTGAGTGTGTGATTGAGTCATACTTAGTTGAGTACTCTGTTTGGGTTATGTTACTGTCCACTCTAATGGTGCATGACACTACATTTGACAGTAATGGTCGTTTTTCCTTCTTTCTACCTTAGCATTGGAAAACTAGAACCTTTTTATATTTTATTTCCATGGGCCTTCCCCTTTTTGATTGCCTGGATACCGTTTATACATCATGACTATGGTATATCTGGTTCTTGGTGCTGGATAAGACTCTATAACAATGACTGCTCACTAAATAAAGAAGGAATGATTGAAATGTATACTCTTTGGTATGGTGAGCTATTTTTTGCTTTGATTCTTAACAACATTGCTCTTGTTATTATATCAATAACTTTATGTAAACGTGCTTATCAGAAGACAATGTCTCTGGATTACAGAAAAGCCCTCAAACAGACTCTCCCACTTTTGATATATCCAATCACATATCAGTTCTTCAGTTGGTTTGCAATTGCTAACAGATTGTATCAGGCACTTAACAATGGGCATTATGTAAAATGGTTGTTTTATACACATGCTCTTGGTGGGCCTTGTGGTAGACTTTTGGCTCCTGCTTTTACAATACTGTACCTCTTCTTACTATGTAGAATTGTCAAGGTGAATATCAAGAAGTGGCACTGCTTGAAGTGTTGCTTTAAACCAAAGAAAACAAGACAAGTTGTAATTAATACCAGTAAAATTGAAGAAGACAAAGTTACAGATAGGCTTATTGATCCTTCAAATCATCTCACTATGTATGGAACAACAATAACCTGTCCAACAAGTGCACACTTGAGGGGAGAGAGTGAAATTGAAAAAGAATATGAAAATGACAGCATTAACAACAATTAAATAATTTTTATTTCATTGTACAATTGATTTGTTTGTTTGTATTAATTTCCATTTTGAGTAAATGTATCAGTAAATATATCGCAGAATTACACATGTACAACTGTATGTACACACATGTATGTATTAATTTAAAACTTCAGTAATTACTGGTAATTACTAGCACACTTATGTGTACATGTGTGTTTAAATGTAGCTTTATCTGCACATGTATAGTATGTCAAATTTTCTGCTTTTCAAAAAAACGAATTCAGCCAGCAAGACATGCTTGCATTGATATAGCCACAGGATTTTTTTCAATATGTTTCTTTTTTTCCTTTTTCCCCATAGCAACTAGTCAGTCACAGTCAACACACTTATTTCTATTCTCAAGCACTCATTAAGACTTTAGAAAACAGACAACCAGAAAACAGACAATTCACTCAATGGCTGGCAGGAGAGGTACAGAGGGACGCCAGGAAGAGGTAAAATGTACTTTTAAAAATTAATTTGCATCTTACATGTACATGTATGTATAGTTTATATAATGCATGTACAAGTTAGCATATTTTAAGATAAAATTAATTTTACCTTTATTTACATGTACATGTACATGCATATAATATGTACAGTACGTCCTCGATTATCCGAACACCTTTGTGCACTTCTATTGGGAGAGATGTTCAGATAGCTGAAATAGTCTGAATAAGTGAAATGCAGCACAGAATACAGTAGGCCGACCTATCCTATACTTTTTTGAAGAATAAATATGCATGACTTTCCTTTCTCTAACTCGCAAACCATCTCAGGCTTCTCTTTAATGGCCTTCCTCTTGGTTAAGCTCCGTGAACTCCTTGCTGCAGCAGCCATTTTAACTGGTTATTAATAAATTAACTAGTCTGAGCATGCGCATTAGAGACAGCCATGCGTTCGGATAAACGAGAGTTTGGATAAAAGAGGTACAGATAATCGAGGACATACTGTACTACTATATATATTTTTAAAAAAACAAGATTAAGTAGGATTCTAGAGCAAATTTGTAAAAAAGTAATGGAAGCAAGGACAAGTAGGATTTCAAACAACCAACGAAAATACGAAATGAAAATCCTACTCTATAAATTTTCGGTCATTGGTGGGTTTTAATTTGGTGAATTTGTGGTTTAGCATGTGCATAAAATTAATGTTTCGAATTGGTGGGTTTAATTCTGGCAAGTGGCTATCAAAATTCCAAAAGACACCAAAATTTCCCCTCCAAAATTACCACTTATGCAGTACCTAATGTATATGCAGCTGGTCAGTTTGGTATAGAGCTCTTGCACGAAATTAATTAATAGGAGAGTGGAGCTAAAATGTCCACCATATTGAGTGGCAAAAATGTACACGCAACAAATGGAGGTATAGAAAAATGTAGGGATTTTTATCAAAGATATATGATATACTTCGTTAGTTTTGAATGGCATACCTACATGTATATTTAGTAATATTGCAATATTTTTATTAATAAAAAGTATTGAATATTACTTAATGACTATCGGCCTCCGGAAACCTCAAATGAGGAGGGAGGAGGTTTGGAATTTCGCGAGGGCCACTCCCCGAGATCCTGCCTGTAACCACAGCCGAGGGGTTGGTAACAACCCCAGGAGTACATGGATAAGACCAACCGCATCAACGGTAGGAGCACAGCTGGTCATGACATATCAGTGCTGCCGAATGGTCCAGCACCAACAGCATGATGCCATGGCTGTGAGGGAACATGGATAAGACCAACCGCATCAACGGTAGGAGCACAGCTGGTCATGACATATCAGTGCTGCCGAATGGTCCAGCACCAACAGCATGATGCCATGGCTGTGAGGGAAGCATCTGAGCATGCTGCACCGGCAGGTGTCCCATAGCATGTCAGAGCCACCGACTGGTCCATCGCTAACAGTGAGAGCCACGAATGTGCAGGTGGGCATACGGATATGCCCATCACAACCAACAGTGGCATGTCAACGCCGCCGAATGGTCCGGCGCCAACAGCGGGCATGCCATGGGTAACCAATGGTCATGCCCCCTGCCACGGGCTGGGAACCCACTAAGAGAGCAGCTCAAATGGAGA